AAATCGTCTTTAGAAAAGACCTTAAGAGTGAATTAAATCATAAACCCCCCTTTAATTCACAAAAGCAAAGGGTGCTATCAAGTGTCCTTTCACTGGTCCGCCCGGGTGGAGGTGGCACATGCAATCAAGTGTCCTTTCACTGGTCCGCCCGGGTGGAGGTGGCACATGCAATCAAGTGACCTTTCACTGGTCCGCCCGGGTGGAGGTGGCACATGCAATCAAGTGTCCTTTCACTGGTCCGCCCGGGTGGAGGTGGCACATGCAATCAAGTGACCTTTCACTGGTCCGCCCGGGCGGAGGTAAAGTGTCCTTTCACTGGTCCGCCCGAGCGGAGGTAAAGTGTCCTTTCAATGGACCGCCCGGGCGGAGGTGGCACATTTTTCTATATGGTTTGCTGCGGCTTCCTCACAGGGGATTTGCGAAATATCTCTAAATTTTCATAATTTTATTTCCACTTTTAATCCAGTTGGTCAACTTTCGGTTGTGGTGCAAACAGTAACCTTTTTGAGTAGCTACTGTTTGCAGATACTAAATGAGGCTAGTGACCTCTTTTTTAATTTTATTATTTTTTTAAATTTTTACCAAACCCTTTATTTTATTTTGTTTATGTATGAGCTATTTCACAAAGTACATTTTAGAATTTCATACAGGGAGCCTGGTGAAAACCTTAATTTGGTGACATAGGCGCCAGGAAACATAAAATTTTAGAACCACTGGCGTAGCCCAACAAAATATACGCCACACGTACGTTGAACATACGATGGATTAAATATTACTGTATTATCTCTACTACCTAGTACGATCCATATCCGGAAATTTGATCGAAAGAAATTTTGTCGACGGTAATGTGATCGAACGGAATTTTGGTCGAATCTTTCCGATAACCAGTACTATCTGAGTAAAGCTAGCGAGTTCAGTTGTGAAAATACATGGCAACATTATGAAGATAATTCCTATGAAATATTGCCTGATCACTGATATCTTTACAGCATTCGATATTTAAATATGCTCTTTATTTGGATTTTTACAGTTTCCAGAAGAATATTGTAGAATTTTTTTTAATGGCAATGGCAAGGCCCCCCCCCACTCCCCCGGAATTTGAAATGCCCCCACCCCCGGGGAAAAAAAATTCGGGAAGAAACACTGACTGACACTGTGAGCTTGTTCACTTTCAAAATAGGGTCAGTCAAAAAGGCCTTTTCTACTATAAAAAAAGTCATAAATCATTCTCCCTACCGTAGCATCTTCCTTCGCATCAATAATTCATAAATATGGCATGTTCCTGCCTTCTGTTTGAATTTGAACACGTTTAGTTTTTAAAATCGCCAGTGGAAATAGCCCTATTTGTATTTTATGTCCTTTCGTCTTTGTTAACCCGAGGCTCAATATTTACATATCAATATCATTTATTAATAATATTAGCTGAATATTTTTACTTTAGATCACTGGGAATTTTATTTTCTTACCAAGGATATTATGCCATTATCATTGTTACGCCTTGTAACGGCCGGGTCTACTGGTGCAGTTTAGAGGTGACGCGATGCTCAATATTTGGGTTTTAATGTCTTGTTGGCCTAATTTTTTAAACTAATAACTAGCACTAGCATGATAAACTCCTAAAGAAGCCTAGCTCCGCCCCTCCACGCCATGACCAATCACAATGGACTAACTTCTCCTCCCCCCCCCCTTTCTTCAAAGTTATTCCTTATTTAATCAAATTAACTTTCTCCAACTTATTTTCTGTCATAATTCTTTTGCTGCCCTCTCGGCTGACGAAGGTTTCCTGCCGACACATTCGTTGTTTTGTTACGTTCCTTTCTTCAGGTTTGACCTTACTTTGTTTTACTCATTTCCATAAGGGGCCGTCCATTAATTACGTTAACAATTTTTAAGCAATTTTTTACACCCCCCCCCCTGTTAACAACTGTCAAAATGTCAGTGACACCACCCCCCCCCCCC